TCGGGGGCCCCGCGGAGCATGTCGCCCGAGATCCTCCAGAGGACGCGATGGTGCTGGCCATTCATAATGTCGGAAACCGGAGCATATACATTTACCAGTGGCGGGCGGTTTTTCAATCCCAGGACTTTTTTTAGGGTCGGGGACGACGTCGGGGTGGTGTGGTGTATACTTTTTCCCCGTTTTCCCGTGGAAACAACAAAAAATGTATACACCAGGATGCCGTATACACCATAATCCGTTTTCTTGTGCGAATCCAAGTGCGGGACCGGAAAAAAGCATCGGTGTATAAAGTTCGGTTCCGTCTAATGGCCTGGCTTGAGGGTCGTCTCCACGCCAGGCTGCCATCCCGTCGTGATTCTTCGAAACAAGCGAGCTTGTAGCTGAATCCGATCGCGTGGAGCACCGTAGGGAGCTTCATCCAAACATGTGCGCCGCTAGGGGGTAGTAGGTTTGCTGGGCCTTGGACGTCGCTTGCTTGGCATCGTAAATGTTGCGACCAGACGCTTGCATTGTGGTGCCGAGATGCAGGAAATCGTGAACAGCTTTGAGCTCAAGTCCTGCAGGTGATCGAAAGACCGACCGGCCCATGGAGAGGAAACGCGCTTTCAAGGTCGTACGGGGTCCACTGCAGGGACCACCTGGGCGAGTATTTCCTGAGGAGATTCGGCCAGGAATTCGAATGTCACGTCATCTACGTATTGCTTGTCATGGAGAGCGTGCTGCAAGATGAAGTGATCGGGGCTGCTGTCGAAATCGGTTGCCCATGGTACGGAGGCGTGTGTGGACATCTTCATGTTCAGCTGGATGTTCTCCTCTTGGAATCGGTGCTGGGCTCACTTGAGGGCCAGCTCATAGGCTATGTTGAAGCACGCCGCACCGAGCCGACAGCCCTGACGTGCGCCGCGGTTCGCGGCGGCCACCGGGCCTGGTTCACTTCGCAACGTGCAAGGGCGATATCTTCTTACCCCCGCAGAGTCGCGGCATCTTGGTATCCTACCGCCTGTCCAAGCTATACACCATGCAGATCTCGGACCCTGTCTGCCAGGTACTGCCAGCGGCAGTCGGGGATACGCAGTGTGGCGCAGTCCAAGGACGGGACACGCTCCTCCTGACAGTCGGATGGCAGACTTGCATAGACAGAGCGATCCACATGTGCCAGTGCTGGGCCATCCTAGTCTTCGACCTGGCCAAGGCCTTCGACAGCGTCATCCGGGAGTACCTCTGAGGCGCTAGTCACCGACAGCTACACGTACTAGCGGATACATTGCATGACTTAGGCGTCCCGTGTGACGTCGCCGATGAGACCCAGCCCTGCCTGCAGGAAAACCCCTCGCTCTTCCGAGCTGTGGGCATGGACGAGCACTCCACCAGGAGGGTTGCTGCTGCTGCTGCTGCTGCTGCTGATGATGATGATGATGATGATGATGGTGGTGATGGTGATGGTGATGGTGATAATGATGGTGATGGTGATGATACTGCTGCTGATGCTGACGCTGCTGCTGATGATGACGATGATGCTGCTGCTGATGATGCTGATGTTGATTTGGATGTTGATGCTGCTGCTGCTGATGATGCTTCTGATGATGATGATGATCATGATGCTAATGCTGATGCTGATGCTGATGATGCTGATGCTGCTGCTGATGACGATGATGCTGATGCTGATGCTTATGCTGGTGCTGATGACGCTGCTGCTGCTGACGATGCTGATGATGATGCTGATTCTGATGACGATGATGATGATGATGATGATGATGATGATGATGATGATGATGATGATGATGATGATGATGATGATGATGATGATGATGATGATGATGATGATGATGATGATGATGAGTATGCTGATTATGATGATGCTGATGATGATGATGCTGATGCTGATTATGATGATGGTGATGATGATGATGCTGATGATGCTGATGCTGCTGCTGCTGCTGCTGCTGATGATGATGATGATGATGATGATGATGATGCTGCTGCTGCTGCTGCTGCTGATGATGATGATGATGATGATGATGATGATGAGGAGAGGAGGAGAGGAGGAGGAGGAGGAGGAGGAGGAGGATCAGAGGAAGGAGGAGGAGGAGGAGGAGGAGGAGGAGGAGGAGGAGGAGAAGGCGGAGGAGGAGGAGGAGGAGGGGAAGGGCGGAGGAGTAGAGTAGGAGTAGTAGTAGGAGGAGGAGGAGAGGAGGAGAGGAGAGGAGGAGGAGGAGGAGGAGGAGGAGGAGTAGGAGGAGGAGGCGGAGGAGGAGGCGGAGGCGGAGGCGGAGGTGGAGGCGGAGGCGGAGCAGGAGGAGGAGGAGGAGGAGGAGGAGGAGGAGGAGGAGGAGGAGGTAGGATATGTGGGAGGAGAGGTAGGGGAAGGCTTCAAGACACAGGTGGAGCGTTTCCCGCTGTTAGCAGCTGGGGGGTCACCGCATCTGCTCCCGCGGGCCCCTGCTGCTTGCTGTTGCTGCGGCGGCTGCCGCTGCTGCTCCTGCTGCGGCTGCTTCGCGCGCGGCCTACGGACAGCAGGTGCACAGCAAGCCGCAGCCCTTCGGAGGGGAGCTCTCGTTTGACGCCTCGAACGAGCACGGCGCCAGGCGGCCGCCGATGTCCCTCCACCTCCTCCGCCTCCTCCGCCTCCACCTCCTCTCCCTCCTCTTGGCCCCTCCGCCCTCCGAGTTATCCTTCAGAGGGCCTCTGGGTGCTTCCTTGGGCTGCCCGAGCCTGCCTGGCAGGCCCAGGAGGCCCCAGGGGTGCCTGGGAGGGGCTGCCGGGTCCATCCAGATTCCGTTCGGGGGTGGGTTGGTCCATTTGTGTCGGTGTCTTGGCGTCGGGTTGCGTAGACAGGCGTACTTGCAGGTATTCTTTCTGGCCCCCTCCAGGCTGACTCTTCGTGGAGTTCGATGGCTCCGCGTGAACGGATGTGGAGCTGTACAGTGCTTGCTCGGGCTCCCCGTTGGTGCCAGTTTTGGTCTGGATGCGCCTGCAGTGCTCATAATGAGACACGCCGAGGCCGCTTATCTAGCGGATATCCATAATTTGGAGGCCAGGTCTACCTGCTTGTAGAAGACCAATACCTGGGGCCTACGCAAATATTGATATCATTTTCTAGCCACAGTTGTCTACGGACCTATGGATATATATATATATATATGTATATATATATATATATAGACATTCAGGGTGGATGCGTCTATAGACAACGCGCTCGTTGTGTTCGATGCAATACAAGGTCGGATAAAAGGGTAGATCCGTCTACGTATTGTTCTTATTCTAGAGCAGGGGCCACACGGTTTTCCTAATGTATGCTAAGACTCCAGCATGTTTCCAGCTCGTTCCATCATCGTCAAGGAGCAAGTGGGGTCTGAATCAAAATGCGTTCGAACAGGGTTTGGAGATCCCGTCTTACCGTTAGGGCACGAACAGGGGTATTGAATGTTTAGCGTCAGCATTTTTTTTGGGTTGGGGGTGTGGGTGTGGGGGGTGGGGGTGGGGCAAGAGCAATCAAAATCATACCAGCAGGTTTGGGCTCATTTTTTAGCGAAACTAACGTGATAGCTTCAGTGGGCTGGAGCGGTACTCCGGACATCATGTGTACCTTTGCCTTTATTTACCTTTTTTCCCAGTCGTGTCAAACACAGAAAGCATACAGACGCTGACAATTTTTTGACATCTCTCATTGTCTCACGTTGCCTTCTCCCTACCGCTGTCGCCCTCTTTATGTTCCCGTGCTGGCCCATATTTGCCTCGCCTCCAGCCTGCTGGCTCGTCGATGTCTCATATTCGCTCCTCTCCCTCCGCGTCGCTGTGCTACTGCATCGTATGCTCCCGTGCCAGGCCTTTTGAGAAGGACAGCCTTACAGGGTGCACCACCCCTTTTTGTGCTTTGCACTGCTGGGGGAAGATAGTAGGGGGAGATCGAGGCAGAACATACATGCGATACACGACAAGTGTACGACGGAACAAGGTGAGCAGACAAACTGTAACATGGCTTATGTAGGAGGGTAAGGATGAGGAGGAGGTGGAGGCGGGGGTTTGGAGAGTATCGTTCTTATTGAAAAGAGGGGGGTGGGGAGGAGGATGATACTGAGGATGATGATGATGATGATGATGATGATGATGATGATGATGATGATGATGATGATGATGATGAGGATGTGGCGGATGAGGAGGAGGAGGAAGTTGAGGAGGAATAGGACGTTGGCGGGACAAGTTGTTCATGATGACGTTGATTACGATAATGAACAAATAGACAAGGCTAACACGAGGTATCTGATGATGGTGGGGAGGAGCATGATGAGACTAGAGAGAGAGAGAGAGAGAGAGACAGAAATAGAGAGAGAGAGAAACAGAGAGAGAGAGAGGAATGAATAGTTTTCGGAGGTGGGCTGCACGAGGAGCTTTAAGGCAAGCTATGGCCCTGCTCTTATATACAGGTTACGCCTCGTCGGTCCGACGTTCAATCATGAAAGAATTGACGGCTGACACGCAAGACTGCTTGTCTTGATCGCGCGGATCGCGCAGAGGCGGAGGGGGTGGCGGAGGAGTAATTTGGCAAGGGGGATGATGAGGATACTGATGACGATAAGGAGGGGGGGAAGCAGGAGGAGCGTGATGATGAGGATGCTGCTAAGAGAGATGGGAAGGATGGAGGCAGACGAGGAGAAGCGGGATGAGAAGGGGTGGAGGAAACGAAGGCGGAGGAGGGGGGGAGGGAAGACGAGGTGGATACGAAGAACAACACTACCAAGATGCACCATTGGGGGATGAAGCAGATGGTGACGGTGCTTCTGGTGATGGTGTTTTGATGCATTTGATGGTAAATGACGGTGATGGTGCTGATGCCGACGATGCGGTGGAGGAGGAGGAGGAGGAGGAGGAACTCGAGGAGGAGGAGGAGGAGGAACTGGAGGAGGAGGAGGAGGAGGAACTTGAGGAGGAGGAGGAGGAACTTGAGGAGGAATTGGATGAGGAGAGGTGGAGGAGGAGGAGGAGAGGAGGAGAGGAGAGGGAGGAGGAGAGAAACTTGAGGAGGATGAGGAGGAGGAGGAGGACGGAGGGGAGGGCAGAAATGAGGAGGGGCGGACCGAACTGGGACTTGCCCGTGCAAGGGAGGTGCAGGGGTGTGTGATGCTCTTTCTTCTCCTCCCCCCCCTCGAGCTTGCCATTCCCCTCCCCCTCCTCCTTCCCCTCCTCTGCCCTCCACTCTTTTCTCCCGTGTGCGGAGTGGCGGAGCTGGCGCCGCAGCCGGCCCAGCCCGCGGGCGGAGGCGCGTAGTGCTGGTGAGGCGCGGGGGCGGCGTGTCCTTCTCGCAGAAGGCCGGCGGCGCGGCCTCCTCCCCCGCGGGGTTGGCGGCTGCCCCTGTTGGCGTCCTCGCTCTCACGTCGCCTGGCTCCCAGCTCCTGGCTCCTCTCCGCTCCTGAATCCTCCTCCTCCTCCTCCTCCTCCTCCCTCCTCCTCCTCCTCCCCCTTCCCCTCCTCCTCCTCCTCCTCCTCCTCCTCCTCCTTCTCCTCCTCCTCCTCCTCCTCCTCCTCCTGTCGCAGAAGGCACACGTGCCACGAGTGTGAATTTCCTTGGGAGGTCCACGTGGGCTGCCGGGGTCGGCGCTTGACCACCAACCCTCCCCGCAGCGCCGCCCCCTGCGCGCCTCCGTCCTCCGCGCGCTCCGCCTAGCTCCTGTCTTTAGCGTCTGTTGTATTCCCCTCTCTCCCTGTCTCTGTCTCTCCCTCCCCATCTCCCCCTCCCCCTCTCCTTCCCTCCTTCTCTTCTCTCCCTCCTCACTCCCTCGCTCAATCTATTTCCCTCTATCACTCTCCCTCTCTCCTGGAGTCGTAGTAGTAGTAGTAGTAGTAGTAGTAGTAGTAGTAGTAGTAGTAGTAGTCGTAGTCGTAGTCGTAGCAGTAGCAGTAGTAGTAGTAGTAGTAGTAGTAGTAGTAGTAGTAGTAGTAGTAGTAGTAGTAGTAGTAGTAGTAGTCGTAGTAGTCGTAGTAGTAGTAGTAGTAGTAGTCGTAGTCGTAGTCGTAGTAGTAGTAGTAGTAGTAGTAGTAGTAGTAGTAGTAGTAGTAGTAGTAGTAGTAACGTTGGATGCATTATGAAGACGAACATATTGATGTCAGGACTGCTTGTGTGGTCAGAAGCAGATGTCATACTGCAGCGAGAAGTATACCGTCTTCGAGCCCTCGATACGAAGCGCAAGCTCGCAGGCGTTACTCTCGTATGGACACGTCTGGAAGTGCATGTTGGCCCACTCGATATTTCTCGGGAATGGCCAATCGAGTAGTTGAATGATGTCTGTTCTTCAGCAGCATCGTCACTGCTCGCGACGACCTACAATGGGGTGGATCATGTAGATGAGGATGAGGATGAGGCAGAGGTCGATGCGGTCGCCGAGGAAGAGCAGGAGAAGGAGGATGATGATTATGAGGGGGAAGAGAAAACGACAGAGAGAGAGACATGTGTAGATGCATGCGTCTATGTATGTATGCGTGCATGCATGCATGTATGCAGTATGATTGTAATGTATCTGTGCATGTATGTATGCATGCATGTATGCTTGCAATGTATGTATGTATGTATATATGTATGCATGCATGCATGCATGCATGCATGCAACTATGTTTGTATGTATGCATGTATGTATGTGTGTATATATGTATGTAGTGCGTGTATCCATATATGTATGTATGGCTGTATATCTGTATGTATGTAAGTCTGTATGTATGCATGTGGGTAGGCATGCATGTAGCTATGTATGGATGTATATATGTATGTATGCATGTATGTATGCATGTAGTTATTTATGTATGCCATGCATGCCATGCGTACCATATATGTATGTGTGCATACATGCATGCTTTCATGTATGTATGCATGCATGCATGTATGTATGTATGCATGCATGCATGCATGTATGCATGCATGTAGGTATGTATGTATAGTATGTATGTATGTATGTATGTATGTATGTATGTATGTTTGTATGTATGCATGTATGCATGCATGTATGTATGTATGTATGCATGCATGCATGCATGCATGCATGCATGCATGTATGTATGTATGTATGTATGCCTATATGTATGTATGTATGTATATATGTATGTATGTATGCATGCATGTATGTATGTATGTATGTATGTATGTATGTATGTATGTATGTAGAGATGTATGCATGCATGCATGCATGCATGCATGCATGTATGTATGTCTGTCTGTATGTATGTATGTCTGTCTATCTGTATGTATGTATGTATGTATGTATGCATGTGTGTATGCATGTATGTAGGTACTTATATATATATATATACATATTCTATATATATAAATACATACATACATCATATTTACACCTGTGTGTGAATATACGCGGATCTTTTATACATATATACGCATATGTATATTTATATACACCTGTATATACGAGGATCTATGAGGGATAGAGAGAGATGGACACGGCAGAGTCCCTGGGCGCCCGTCGGAGGTCACGAACGCCTACTGCGGCGGGGCTGCCGGGGTGGTGATAGTGAGCAACTCGAGCGAGGCCCTGTGGCCGCGCTCCTCGTCCTCCTCAACGCTTTCGGTTGCGAAAGCGAGTGAGGGTCATACCGTTGGGCAAGCAAGACCTTCGGACGGCCGAGGGAGGTCAAATACTCGCGCTGGCGGCTGCAGCTCGGCGATGGTCTCCAATCGGCGGTGTTGCGCTGACGTCCCGACCTGCCAATCCTTCACCAAGCGCTTTCCACTACTCGCAAAGCGCCTACTCGCAGGCGTCCGACAAGACACATGTGTGCCTTGATGTAATTGGTCGTGAATCCCCCGCGTCGGATCCAGGCCATGTGCGAGCAGTTGCTCTGCGAGGAGTGGACCGCGCTTGTCTAATCTTGCCTGGGTTACGTCTGGAGATCCGAACCGTCGAAAAGGTAAGGCCGAGGCAGATCAAGATGCCGCTTCCCCGAGGAGCGGTTGGGGTGGGCCTGGAGGGGACGGACCGGTTGTCGCGATCCCCACGGGAATCGATGGTTCGTGCTGTCGTGGAGTGTGGGTGTGTGTGTGTGTCGTGTGGGTCCCCGGCAGCAAGGCGCCGAGGTTAGGTCATCTTTCGAAGGAGACAAACCACCGTAAACTCGAAGAAGAAAAAGCCACATAAACATAAATTTTTGGCGCTCCGCACGGATTTCTTGGATCCGCGCTGGGCCCCCTGGCGGCGCCTCTGTCGCCGCCCATGGCGCGCTCTGCGCGCCAGGGAGGGGGTCCAGCGCAGATCCAAGAGGCCCGCGCGGAGCGCCAAAATCTTATGTTTATGGCGTTTTCTCTCCTTCTAGTTTGGTCGTCTTATCGTGAACTGGTCGAGATTACGTCTCGGGCGGGCTGTGAGTTTTAGGGCGTTGTGGTCAGCCATCTGCATGCAAATATTATCTCTGACCTTTTGGGGCAATTCGCGTGCTTCTCATGGTGGTTACCTGACGCATCGGATGGGTGCATTTTATCATGTACTCCAAATTGGTAGCCTGGCGCGCAATCGTTTCGCAGTATGGCGCCACTGGGTGAGGCCATGGTATGCGAACTTGCATCGTCGCTGTGAGAATGTGTTCGCGGTGGTGAGATTTGTTTGTCAATGAATTCGCAGTGCGTGCTTGATATTTTCCTGCCTGCCGCCCTGATTGCGTGGCTGATTCTCCAATGATCTTGCCTAATTGAGGTGTCGTTCGTTCAAGTTTTCTTCATGCATAAATAGCTAGAACATATCTACATCTCTGACTAACGCAAAAATCTGAGTTAACCCCTGGTTTTCGCATGGGTCACCGTCTGCCGCTCCTGCGCGTAATCAGTGGAATCTCCAGAACTATACCAGGTCGCGCACAATTAATTTTTGGTATCACCATGCGCCGTCTTCTTCCCAGCGCTCTTTACCCCGAGCTTGCTCGCGGGCGTGCCGATGCTGCCAGTCAGGGCCCCCCCCCTGCAGTGTTGGCGCGCGCGGGCCACATGCGCGCATAGCCGATGCCCGCGGATCGGCTTGCCCTTTTTCGCTGCCGCGCGAATCCGCCAACGCGCTCGCGGGCAGGGGGGGGGATTTTCGGGAGGGGAATCAACACGCAGACACAAGGAGTCGTCGATTTCCCAGACAATCTGGGGAAATATGGGAAGTGGGGGGGAAGGCAGAAACCCAGAACAAATATGGGAAAATCGGGGGAATCTGGTTATTTGTGTCTATTTCTTTGTGTGTCCCAGTTCCCCTTCAGATTTGGAGGGCTGGGGGGCTGGGGGAAGGGGGGGCGAAGGGGCGCTCGAGGGGTGGGCTCCACTGGAATACCTACACGCGCCGTTGGTATTGGATAGGTGTTATGTTTGCGGAGGGGACGAAAGCGCGGACTCGTCAAACATAGGGGAACAAAAAGTGGCATAAACTTCCAAACTCGGAGGTCCGCGCGGATTTCTCGGATCGGCGCTGGGGCCCCCCGGCGGCGCCTCCGGCGCCGCCCCTGGCGCGCTCCGCGCGCCAGGAAGGGGGGTCCAGCGCATGTGGAAGCATGTTTGACTCGATGCGTTGCGGATTGGGGTCGGGGAGGGGTTGGCCAACGATCGTTTCGCAGGGGTTCATTCCCACGCGCGCAAACCGCTGCAAACGCGGTGGCAGGCACAAGTGCTTGGCGCACGCGCGTGCAACTGTGCACATGATGTACGAGATCACGGAGGTAGAGAAGGGAACATAGGAAGATCTCCCCTATCTGATGAGAGAGCGACGTGGGGCGTCGAAGCGTGGTGGATGTAGTCGAGTTGGGAGTTGTGCTGCCCGCCGAACTGCCTCGATCCCGAGCAGCGGCATCTCGGTTGTCGAGAACCGCATCGGTCTCGCGCCGTCGTCCTCCCAACAGCCGCGCAGTTTCTAAACGGGCGGTGCGCCAGTCGGGGGCACGCGGACGGACTGAGCGCCGTCGCTCGCCGGCGCGCCCGCCCCCCGTCGCGCGCCAGGTGGACATCTACTCCGTAGACGCGCCTGCCGGCTCCAAGGTGCGATTTTTGCCTCCAGCTGGGGACAGCGAGCTGCCTCTATCTTGTTATCCTCTCCCTCTGCCCCCCGCCCCTTCGTGCTCCTCACCGTCCCCGCCCTGTGGCCTCTGCCTCCTCTCCTTCGTCCCTCCCTCCGACCCCTCTACGGGAGTCTTCCTGATGACGATGGTGATGTGCTGTTTGCATGGGTCTTGTGCAGTGTTCGGTTTGCCATGTCCTTGTTCCGGATTGGCTCACCTCTCTATGTATCTGTTCACCATTACGTACAATTTCTCCGTGTGTGTGTGTATCGGTTCAAGCCAGTTGTTCTTTTCCTGCGTTGCTGGGGTCGTCCTTTTCTTCTGAAGTAGCCAGAGTTCTGAAGTAGCCTCCGAGAATGCCGATGCCAGGTCTACGCGTTCGGCCAGAAACAACATATTCCATGTTGAAGCCGGTGGCATATCGTCTTTGAGCTCGACGCCAAGCGCAAGCTAGCAGGTACTACTCTCGTTGGGACACGTCAGGAAGTGCATGTTGGCCCACCCGACACTTCTCGAGAGGTGGCATGATGCCTGCTCTCCGGCAGCACCGTCATGACTCACGACGAACTTGAAGACATGGCGATGGCGAGTATACAATGGGGTGGGTGGTTTAGAGGAGGATGAGAACACGGAGGATGCGGCAGAGGTCGATGAGGTCGCCGAGGAGGAGGAGGAGGATGAGGAGGGAGAGAGCGAGAGATGTATATACATGTACATGTATGCACACGTGTAGTATGGACATATCTATGTGTAAATGTTTATGCAGACCCAAGTATATAGATATTCAGATGGGTAGTCCCCCCTCAGATCACACATGCGGGCTTGGACTTTTTATCTTTCGAACCCTCGTCCTTCTCCTCCTCCTCCTCCTCCTATTCGCTTTCCTCTTGCGGCTTCCTCATCGCATTCCTCCTCCTCCTGCCAGAAGTGCGACAGGAAGGCTGAAAACCAATGTGTGTTCCAGGTTTTCCACATCCTGCAGCTGAACTGCGTTGTTGTCAGTCTTTCCCGGTGAGCGCTCCAGCTCAGGGTTCTTTTGTTTTGCGGGCCAAAGTCCCTCCACCAGAATGGTGTCGAGCACTAGGCGTCGGAATGGAACACGCCAAAATACGTGTGCGTAGAGGGGGGGTCTCCAACATCAGTCTCGGCACGCGTGCGTTCGGCACGTGCTTCTACGTGTTTGTGGCCCACGGTGGGGCCGCAGGCGAGGGACCCAAGTTGGCCCGCCGAACGCGTTTACACGTAAACATGCGTGCGCGGAGGGAGGGACCCAGCAGGCGCCTGGCGCATGGCGCGCGGAGACTCGTTTTCACGTGTCCACGGCCCCGCCCTCAGCGAGGGACCCAACTGGATGTTTTACACGCGAAAGTTCGTGTGCGGAGGCGGGGACCCAACGTGCGCCCGGCGCCTGCGCACGGGGCACGTACTTTCACGTGTCCACGGCCCCCAGGGGGTACCCAACTTGGGCGCGGGGGGGGGGGCCAGCATGCGCCTGGCCCGTGCGCGCGGGGCAACTTTCAAGTAACTACGTGCGCGGATTTGGGGCCGAACATGCGCCGCTCGCGTTCTGGCGGGGCGCGTATTTTCGCACGGCCACGGCCCCACGAGAATGCGTGCGCGGAAGGGGGGGCGACCCCACGTGCGCCTGGCGTGCGCGCGCGGGGGGCATGTCTTCTCCTGTGTCCACGGCCCCTAAGGGGGGGGGGACCCACCTTGGGCGCGGGGGGGGGCTGCCGGCATGCGCCTGGCGCGTGCGCGCGCGCGGCACCTCTCGTCGCTTGTCCGCCCGGCGCGTGCGCGCGGGGCACGCGTTTCACGCGTCCACGGCCCCTAATGGGGGAGAGACCCAATCTGGTCGCGTCGGGCTCTGCACGCCGCGTGCACCGGCGCCGCCGTGTGGGAGGGAGACGACGATGGGGGAGGATGATGTGGCGGCGGGAAAAGGATGACGAGGAGGAGGAGGAGGAGGAAGGAGGAAGGAGACATCAGGAGGGGGAGGACGATGAGGAGGAGGAGGAGGAGGAGGAGGAGGAGGAGGAGGAGGATGAGGACGACGAGGAGGGGGGGATGATGATGATGCTGATGATGCTGATGATGATGAGGAGGAGGAGGAGGATCAGCAGGGCGTGCAGGAGGTAGTGGTTACAACCAAACAAGAGGAAAGTGTTGCACGCGCGTCAGGAGAAACTTTGACTCAAGTTAGTCCGTGGATCCCTCAAGTTTGTTGGTGTCAGATTTCCGGAGGGACCAACATCTGTGATTGCAGGCTTGTGTTGATAAGCATATTTTCAACGCTCCCGAATTATCTGGAAAGACTACCCAGTCCGCGCAGTCTCTTCAGGAACCCAGGAAACATCGAGGTATTCAAAAGCACAGCGTTCCAGTACTTCCGAACCTGAAGCGCATGCTTTTCACGTGCATGATCTGGAACACTGGAAGCAACATAATGGTTTTCAGATGCCGCGCCTCTTTTCCTGCTGTAGGAGCTGCAATACCAGCTGTGTGCGAGCTGTACTGCTGGCTGTTGTATGACCGTTAGTAGGAGCTGTAGTACGAGCTGTACAAGGAGCTGCATAGGGAATTGAATTAAGAGCTTTGGTAGGGGCTGTCGTGAGAGCTGTGCTACTGGTTGTAGTTGGGACTGTAGCAGGAGCTGCATTAGGAGCTTCACTGAAAGCTGTACTCGTGGCTTAATTATGAATTGTAGTAGGAGCTGTACTAGGAGACGTAGTGGCTGCAGTCGGAATTTGAGTAGGAGCTGTACAGTCAGCTGTAGTTCGAGGTGTACTACTGGCTGTGGTCGCACCTGTGGTGGATAGAGAGAAACAGAGACACAGAAAGAGAGAGAGAGAGAGAGAGAGTGAGAGAGAGAGAGAGAGTGAGAAAGAGAGAAAGAGAGAGCGCGAGAGATCTGGGTCTGGGTGGTTGTCTGGCGGCTCCGTGGTCGCCGTCGCCGCCTCGTCGCCGCCCCGTTTTCCGCCCCGTCGCCGCCTAGATTGTTCAACATCGATTGCATCATGTCGATTGCACCACATTGAGTGCACCACAATGATTCTCCTTTCTAAAAACAGAGTAGACTCTACCCCCCCCCCTGGCGTTATCACTCCCCCTTTCGGGTATGTAGATCATATATGATTCTGACCACATGTCCATCCTGAATATGAATTTGCACTATCCCCGGGGGGCCGGGTTCCCCCCCTGAGGTTCCCTTGTAAAAAACACTATGCGGGGACATTTTTTGGTTCTAACATAGCACTTTTTCACGAATCCCTTGCAACAAATGGGACGAAGTGCACACGCGCGCGTCGTCGCGCGCGCATGCCGAAATCCTTCAAAAACCGTCGGCGCCGGAAGGATTTCGCAATCGAGTTTCCAAAAAACATACAAAAACACAGGGTTTCGCAACACCGATTTGTTAAAATAGCTTCCGCGCGAGCTCTTGTTTTTCAAGATTTTCACAAACTGCTATTAAACAGGCGTCGCGCGCGCGCATGTCGAAATCTGTCGAACGCCCTTGCGCGTGTGCCGTCGCGAGAATCCTCTGCAAAAATTGGACGAAGTGCAGACGCGCGCGTCGTCGCGCGCGTATGCCGGAAACCTTCAAAACCCATCGGTTTCGGACGGATTTCAAAATCGTGTCTCCAAAAAACCTACAAAAACATAAGGTTTCGCAACACGGATTTTCAACAAAAGCGTGCGCGCGCGCTCTGGTGTCGTCGTCGTCGTCGTCGTCCTCCCTCTTTCCTCGTCGTCGTCGTCGTCGTCGTCGTCGCCGTCGTCGTCTTCTGTCTTTCCTCGTCGTCGTCGTCGTCGTCGTCGTCTTGGCGTCGTCGTCTCTTCCGTCGTCGTTGTCGCCGTGGTCGTCTTTCCTCCCTCATCGTCTTCGTCGGCGTTTCATCGTTTCATCGTCGGCCATCGTCGGCGTCTCGTCGTCGTCCCTTCTGTTTCGTCGCCGTCGTCGTCGTCTTCGTCGTCGTTGTCGTCGTCGCCGTCCTCCCTCCTCCCTCGTCGTTGTCGTCGTCGGCGTCGCCGTCCGTCCTCCTTCTTCGTCGTTCGCGTCGTCGCCGTCTTCCCTCATCCATCGTCGTTGTCGTCGTTGTCGCCGTCGTCGTCCCCCCTCCTCCCTCGTCGTCGTCTTCGTTGGCGACGTCGTCGTCGTCTTCGTCGTCGTCGTCGGCGTCGGCGTCGTCGTCGTCGTCTTCGTCGACGTCGACGTCGGCGGTGTCGTCGTAGTCGGTGTCGGCGGCGCCGTCGTCGTCGTTGTCGCTGTCGTCGTCGGCGTCGGTGTCGTGGCCAAGTGCCATGTGATACCTACCGTCACGGTCTTGTCTTAAGAAGTCTTGCGACCAAGTTGCGGGTGGGTGGGTGGGATGTTTGCGCGAGCAGTGGAGGTGGTCAGGCGCGGTGCAGGGTAGTCAACTGCACCGCATATGTTGCACCAACACGTCGGTTTTCTTTCAAAAAATACAGAATAGACTCTACCCCCCCTGGGCGTTATCCGCCCCCCTTTCGGGTATGTAAATCATATATGATTCTGACCACATGTCCATCCTAACTATGAATTTACACTATCCCAGGGGGGCCGGTATCGGCCCCCCTGAGGTTCTCTTGTAAAAAAAACGATGCGCGGGGACATCTTTTGTTCCAATATAAGACTTTTTCACGAATCCCTTGCAAAAAATGGGACGAAGTGCACACGCGCGCGTCGTCGCGCGCGCATGCCGAAATCCTTCAAAAACCTTCGTTGCGGGAAGGATTTCGCAATCGAGTTTCCAAAAAACATACAAAAACATCAGGTTTCGCAACACTGATTTGCTAAAAAAGCTTACGCGCGAGCTCTTGCGAAATTTTCGCAACACGGATTTTCAACAAAAGCGTGCGCGCGCGCTCTTGCGTCGTCGTCGTCGTCGTCGTCGTCGTCGCCGTCCTCCCTCCTCCCTGGTCGTCGTCGTCGTCGTCGTCACCTACGTCGTCCTCTGT